TGGGAGGAGGAGCATGTGTGTGTTGGTGGACGGTGGGCTTGCCTCTGTGGGAGGAGGAGCATGTGTGTGTTGGTGGACGGTGGGCTTGCCTCTGTGGGAGGAGGAGCATGTGTGTGTTGGTGGACGGTGGGCTTGCCTCTGTGGGAGGAGGAGCATGTGTGTGTTGGTGGACGGTGGGCTTGCCTCTGTGGGAGGAGGAGCATGTGTGTGTTGGTGGACGGTGGGCTTGCCTCTGTGGGAGGAGGAGCATGTGTGTGTTGGTGGACGGTGGGCTTGCCTCTGTGGGAGGAGGAGCATGTGTGTGTTGGTGGACGGTGGGCTTGCCTCTGTGGGAGGAGGAGCATGTGTGTGTTGGTGGACGGTGGGCTTGCCTCTGTGGGAGGAGGAGCATGTGTGTGTTGGTGGACGGTGGGCTTGCCTCTGTGGGAGGAGGAGCATGTGTGTGTTGGTGGACGGTGGGCTTGCCTCTGTGGGAGGAGGAGCATGTGTGTGTTGGTGGACGGTGGGCTTGCCTCTGTGGGAGGAGGAGCATGTGCGTGTTGGTGGACGGTGGGCTTGCCTCTGTGGGAGGAGGAGCATGTGTGTGTTGGTGGACGGTGGGCTTGCCTCTGTGGGAGGAGGAGCATGTGTGTGTTGGTGGACGGTGGGCTTGCCTCTGTGGGAGGAGGAGCATGTGTGTGTTGGTGGACGGTGGGCTTGCCTCTGTGGGAGGAGGAGCATGTGTGTGTTGGTGGACGGTGGGCTTGCCTCTGTGGGAGGAGGAGCATGTGTGTGTTGGTGGACGGTGGGCTTGCCTCTGTGGGAGGAGGAGCATGTGTGTGTTGGTGGACGGTGGGCTTGCCTCTGTGGGAGGAGGAGCATGTGTGTGTTGGTGGACGGTGGGCTTGCCTCTGTGGGAGGAGGAGCATGTGTGTGTTGGTGGACGGTGGGCTTGCCTCTGTGGGAGGAGGAGCATGTGCGTGTTGGTGGACGGTGGGCTTGCCTCTGTGGGAGGAGGAGCATGTGTGTGTTGGTGGACGGTGGGCTTGCCTCTGTGGGAGGAGGAGCATGTGTGTGTTGGTGGACGGTGGGCTTGCCTCTGTGGGAGGAGGAGCATGTGTGTGTTGGTGGACGGTGGGCTTGCCTCTGTGGGAGGAGGAGCATGTGTGTGTTGGTGGACGGTGGGCTTGCCTCTGTGGGAGGAGGAGCATGTGTGTGTTGGTGGACGGTGGGCTTGCCTCTGTGGGAGGAGGAGCATGTGTGTGTTGGTGGACGGTGGGCTTGCCTCTGTGGGAGGAGGAGCATGTGTGTGTTGGTGGACGGTGGGCTTGCCTCTGTGGGAGGAGGAGCATGTGTGTGTTGGTGGACGGTGGGCTTGCCTCTGTGGGAGGAGGAGCATGTGTGTGTTGGTGGACGGTGGGCTTGCCTCTGTGGGAGGAGGAGCATGTGTGTGTTGGTGGACGGTGGGCTTGCCTCTGTGGGAGGAGGAGCATGTGCGTGTTGGTGGACGGTGGGCTTGCCTCTGTGGGAGGAGGAGCATGTGCGTGTTGGTGGACGGTGGGCTTGCCTCTGTGGGAGGAGGAGCATGTGTGTGTTGGTGGACGGTGGGCTTGCCTCTGTGGGAGGAGGAGCATGTGTGTGTTGGTGGACGGTGGGCTTGCCTCTGTGGGAGGAGGAGCATGTGTGTGTTGGTGGACGGTGGGCTTGCCTCTGTGGGAGGAGGAGCATGTGTGTGTTGGTGGACGGTGGGCTTGCCTCTGTGGGAGGAGGAGCATGTGTGTGTTGGTGGACGGTGGGCTTGCCTCTGTGGGAGGAGGAGCATGTGTGTGTTGGTGGACGGTGGGCTTGCCTCTGTGGGAGGAGGAGCATGTGTGTGTTGGTGGACGGTGGGCTTGCCTCTGTGGGAGGAGGAGCATGTGTGTGTTGGTGGACGGTGGGCTTGCCTCTGTGGGAGGAGGAGCATGTGTGTGTTGGTGGACGGTGGGCTTGCCTCTGTGGGAGGAGGAGCATGTGTGTGTTGGTGGACGGTGGGCTTGCCTCTGTGGGAGGAGGAGCATGTGTGTGTTGGTGGACGGTGGGCTTGCCTCTGTGGGAGGAGGAGCATGTGTGTGTTGGTGGACGGTGGGCTTGCCTCTGTGGGAGGAGGAGCATGTGTGTGTTGGTGGACGGTGGGCTTGCCTCTGTGGGAGGAGGAGCATGTGTGTGTTGGTGGACGGTGGGCTTGCCTCTGTGGGAGGAGGAGCATGTGTGTGTTGGTGGACGGTGGGCTTGCCTCTGTGGGAGGAGGAGCATGTGTGTGTTGGTGGACGGTGGGCTTGCCTCTGTGGGAGGAGGAGCATGTGTGTGTTGGTGGACGGTGGGCTTGCCTCTGTGGGAGGAGGAGCATGTGTGTGTTGGTGGACGGTGGGCTTGCCTCTGTGGGAGGGACGAAGGATGTGTGTGTTGGTGGACGGTGGGCTTGCCTCTGTGGGAGGGACGAAGGATGTGTGTGTTGGTGGACGGTGGGCTTGCCTCTGTGGGAGGAGGAGCATGTGTGTGTTGGTGGACGGTGGGCTTGCCTCTGTGGGAGGGAGGAGGATGTGTGTGTTGGTGGACGGTGGGCTTGCCTCTGTGGGAGGGACGAAGGATGTGTGTGTTGGTGGACGGTGGGCTTGCCTCTGTGGGAGGGACGAAGGATGTGTGTGTTGGTGGACGGTGGGCTTGCCTCTGTGGGAGGGACGAAGGATGTGTGTGTTGGTGGACGGTGGGCTTGCCTCTGTGGGAGGGACGAAGGATGTGTGTGTTGGTGGACGGTGGGCTTGCCTCTGTGGGAGGGACGAAGGATGTGTGTGTTGGTGGACGGTGGGCTTGCCTCTGTGGGAGGGACGAAGGATGTGTGTGTTGGTGGACGGTGGGCTTGCCTCTGTGGGAGGGACGAAGGGACTGTACTGTGCCCCGTTAGCGGAGGCTGTGGCTCCAGCTGACAAATGAGGAAGGAGTGTTGGGGCTGGTAGCTGCCCACTGAGCAAAGCCACCAATTAGGTCAAGGAATACAGTACTGAAAGCTTTCCCAAGGTATAATTAAATTTCAGACTAAGCCCTTTCCAAAAACTTTATCCACTTCTCCAAGCAAAACTAAACAGAATACAATGTACCACTATTTCTAGCAAGTGTGCTGTATATTGGATTGCCAGAGAAATCATGCAATTTGTTAAGGTCAAGGGGAGGTAGATACAGTAGTGTATGTTGACTTTTCAAACGACAACTTGTGGATAGGGTGGGGTGGGGTGGGGGGAGGGAACTATCAGGGGAAAGTGCCAAGCCATTACGATCATATAGCGGGGTGGGGGGTGGGGGGTGAATGATCGGGGAGGATTAAAAGTGCCTAATTTTCCTGGGGTTGTACAGTACTAGTAAATAATCTCTCTTCCCCCATCTACTTGATCAACACTTCACAAGCATCTTAATACTGTTAAGAAAGCTTTTGACAGACAAATGTGGCCATGGTGTTTTGGCACACAAGAAGAATTACTAACAAAGTAGGGTGAGTGTTCCTTAACTTTCTAACAAACAGAACCCAAAGTGTAATAGTCAACAAAATAACAACATGACTTCCCAAAAACTGTAATTTCATACTCTTTATTCTATAGATTTACTTGCTCCTTCAAACCTCAAGCAGTTAGCCCCTAACAAGGTCATTTCTACAAATTTCCTACTACAATGGCTCGTTTAAGTTTGCCCTTATATTTTAAAGACTGCTGAAATTCTTATAAACGTGAAAAAAAGCTACAAAACATCCCCAAAAGTAAGGATTTTTAGATCAAATCACACATACATGACAAGAATACATTTTTATTCCATATCCCTTGATCATAACAATTCCCTAAACACCAACAAAATTTATTACAATTTAAATGTCCAAGAATATTGACGCATTCACAAATCTACCCAATGTCTTGTAAACACTCTCCCTGCACCCACATTATGATTTAACTTGGGCACTAGCATGGCTGTGATGACACCGCCACATTCACAAATCTACCCAATGTCTTGTAAACACTCTCCCTGCACCCACATTATGAGTTAACTTGGGCACTAGCATGGCTGTGATGACACCGCCACATTCACAAATCTACCCAATGTCTTGTAAACACTCTCCCTGCACCCACATTATGAGTTAACTTGGGCACTAGCATGGCTGTGATGACACCGACACATTCACAAATCTACCTAATGTCTTGTAAACACACTGCCTGCACCAACATTATGAGTTAACTTGGGCACTAGCATGGCTGTGATGACACCGCCACATTCACAAATCTACCCAATGTCTTGTAAACACTCTCCCTGCACCCACATTATGAGTTAACTTGGGCACTAGCATGGCTGTGATGACACCGACACATTCACAAATCTACCTAATGTCTTGTAAACACACTGCCTGCACCAACATTATGAGTTAACTTGGGCACTAGCATGGCTGTGATGACACCGACACATTCACAAATCTACCTAATGTCTTGTAAACACACTGCCTGCACCCACATTATGAGTTAACTTGGGCACTAGCATGGCTGTGATGACACCACTACATCACCTATTTAATTATTTCACAATTGCTGCGACCCATTTATCTGGTTGTTTATTGACCATTTGAGCATTCATGACAAGCTTTAAAGGAGCATTTTGAAGAGGAAAAACACTTTCATTTTTGTAATATACTAATGCAGCAAAATTAAGCCACTATAATAACAAAAGCAAGGCCGGAGCAAGAGACACATTCACAAGCATTAATATGCAGAGAATAAGTTACAGACATGGCTGAATAAACAACCTCTCTCACACACACACACACACGTTATGAAACAATAAGCATTTAATAGTATTAAACAATTTCACAAACTGACATGTATATATATATATATATCCATATATTACACTATACAAAATTATATATTACACATATATATAACCCCATGCAATGTTGTATTTGTAAGCAAGAAAGAGCCAACTAAGCTTTAATAATAATAAAATCCTTGTACCTTGGGGTCTGGGTAAGATCCTATCTCGGTGGTGGACGAGTATGTTCCAGTTTCCCGCTTGCTCTCACGCACTGCCATTTCCTGCAAGAAAATGGATTCTTACATGACAAAGAAGCAAGCATACAAGGACAAGGTTATTAAATGTGTGAAATGCTACCTTCAGGAATTTTATGTTACAAGTTTTTTTTTATAAAAATGGCAAGAGATGCCAGACAAAAGAATGGTAGTTACCATAAAGAATGGCAAAATAATATGAAACCCTTCATTAACCCCTGCACTGCACAGCTATTTACAAGTACTATATCGAGGTGCACCACACTAACCCTTGTACTGCACTCTGCGAGAATTTTGATTAACGGGTGGTGCATTCAAGAGAAACCTCTTTATGTAGGTATAGTTAACTCTTCAAAACTTCCATGGGAATGCAGGGCTCATATCCTGTTCCTCAGGCCTCCAATAATAAACAACAGATGCCATCTTGCAAAAAATCGTTTGCATCCCTCCTGGCTGCGAGAACCTCGGTGAACCTCAAAGATGAATAAAAAAAAAGTATCTATCCCTTCTTTGCAATGATAGTGCCATAGTCGATCCTGACTTTGATAAAGATTATGTACAAGGATCAGATACCAGTCAACACAACACTAGTTATGATGATCACAATGCGAGGTAGACAGCGACAGCACTTGACCATCGTTTCGCGAATCTACGCATCACGAGACGACCTCGTGCTCCTTTAGAAACTAAACTTGTGCAAAATGATTCATATTCAGAATTTAATAACAAGGATTCTGATAATAGCAGCACTGCGCCTAGAGTTAGTGGTGTGCACATTATATCGGAGACATTATGCAGTCAGATGACATCATCAGCTCATTTACCGGTTTTGCTTTCTATTATGATGAACAAAAACATTACATATAACATGTGTTATATGTAAAATATGCAAAAGCAGTACTTTTTATTGTTCAAATAAAATAGTAATGTATATGTAGTCCTACTAGTGACACTAATGTACATCAGTGTGTGCCAATATCCTACGTGTTCTCAGATACCATTACTATTATTTGAGAAAATCCGTACGAGTCATTTAGATATTTAGAGCATGACACATCTTCAAATTAGTGTTGTAACAACTTCATGCAACAAATGAGTGACTAGGACCTGATAGCTGAGTGGACAGCACTCAGGATTCATAGTCCTGAGGTTCCGGGTTCGATCCCCAGAGGTAGCGGAAACAAATGGGCAGTTTCTTTCACCCTGATGCCCCTGTTTATATAGCAGTAAATAGGTACCTGGGAGTTAGACAGCTGCTACGGGCTGCTTCTTGGGGATGTGTAACAAAAAGAGGCCTGGCCGAGGACCGGGCCGCAGGGACGCTAAGCCCCGAAATCAAGATAAACTCAGATAACCTTTCATAAGATTACATTCACCAGAACTGCTTTAGTGGTTTGTAAAGGCGTATAAAATGTAGACTTATATATAGAGTATATGTAGTGCAATAACAGCAAAACCACTTATTGTTCTAAGAATATAATATTCGTGCCACTACCACCATAGCATACTACCACCTCTGAGCATAGCAATATTCCACACATTATAGTCATACTATTGACACATGTATCTCACAAATTTTTTCCAGTAATCTTAAGTAATATTACTGCAAAAAACTAACTAGAGAAAAAACAAACATTGAAATATACACGTAAAGATTATGCAGATGAGGAGTCACAATAACGTGGATGAAATGGTCTAGGACGGACCGAAACATCGTCGTCCCTTCACTTTCGAGTGCGTAGTTTGGCCAACGTGTAAAGATTATGTTTGCAGCAACTCCCTCCCCATGCCAGTGTCTGTGCAACCGATTGCAATCATGTTGCAACTACTAGTTCACTGCAAGTCAATTGTGAAACTTTCTTGCCATGGCCACCTTCACACACACACACACCCCTATATAGTATATAGGGTCCAATTGCCAGAAACACTGTGCGTACAAGTGGCTTCAGGCATTGTGTATACAAGTAATCCCATACTATGTTTGTAACTTAAAATAAGTGTATGTACCTTTACATGAATAAATATTTGATCTTGTATAACAGATTATTGAGCACTGACAGTACCGTATTATATTAGAAAAACTGTTACGTAAACAATTGCTATTCCCCAGGTACAAATAGCACAGCAAAACTTGCCAATTCTGTGAAAATTGCCAATTGCAAAGCTATTGGTAATGGGAGATTTCAATCATGGGCAAATTAACTGGGAAAGAATATAATGGAGCTTACCTCACTGGTGCTGAGCAGCCTTGTGGTCATGTTGTCGGCAATAGCCCACTTTTGATTCTTCATGACAATATTGAGAGGAGGATCATGGGTAGCCTCAGTGTCGCACGACCAGATGGTAACACAAGCGCCAGCTGGAATTTTAGATTTGGAGTGGAACTTGTACGTGGTCTCTGCCTCCCCAGCAGTACGGATGATCTGGAATCCTCCGATGGAAAAATCCTGAAAAAGAAATATTTCCAAACCTTTATAATTACTGTGTAGTATTAAAACACACAATTGTAAAGAGTTATATATAAAAGAACATAACTTCATAAAATCTTCTAAAGAACTTCCAGATAATAATAAACACATGGTAGAGCACAGGCTGCCATGTAGATCACATTTTCAGTGGATGAGGAATGCCAAGCCAGTTAAATTATAAACATGCTTCTAGATTTACTACTTAATGTTACACAAACATACACAACACGACTGATAACTTTACCTTATCACTCTTATTCTGCAGCTTGACAAATTTCCCTTCCGGACAATCCTCAACAATATCAATATCACCAGTTGACCGGGCAGTTGACTGGAATGACTTTCTCGACTCCTCTTCCATTACTGTTCTCTTGCGCTTCATCGACCGGATTGGAGTCCGTCTTATTGGAGTGTCTTTCCCTGAAGAACTCGCTATGATCCGGCTAGTCGAGATATTTAACCTGTGACAAGACACGCAGAAACAAAATAAAAATTATACCATAAGCATTTGCTAATGTTTTCTATCATCCTTCCCACCCTATTAGTTCCTCTAACATTAATTTACAGGACATGTAAATTTAGTGTAATTACCCAAGTGTAGTTACAGGATGAGAGCTATGCTCGTGGTGTCCCGTCTTCCCAGTACTCTTTGTCATACAGTATAACGCTTTGAAATTACAGACGGATTTGGCCTCCACCACCTTGACACCTAACTTGTTCCAACTTGGGGGTTTGAGTACAAACTCCCAAGTGCTTGGGAGTTTGTACTCTTAACCCCCAAGCACTTGCAAATGTGTGCTTGGGGATTTGAGTAGATAGATGCTGGTCAATATTTCGAGCGTAGCCAAGCGGCTCTTGGTGCTTGGGGTAGGCACATGGACAGTATCTGACTGACTGTATTAGTGGCTTGGCATCTCTTGCTTGCATGAGTCTTCTTATCCAGCCATTAAACTTTCTCAAGGCTGTGAATTATTTTGCCACAGACTTTAAACATCAGATCTTTGGATGCAATTTGCTCCCTCACATTTACATTTGACTTCCTCTCTATTGTTATTGGACTGAATTGTGTGTGTGTGGTTTTATTGATATTTTGCAAGATGTTCACATCCCTCTGGCTGCCTATACTCTCCATTCTTGTTTTTTTTTTAATTTCACTATCAGTTATTTCCTCATTTATTGGTCCCTCTCCTTGCCTCCCCTGTATTCCCCCCTCTAGTTACTCTGTTAGCATGTCTTGCTGACTGACATTAATGGTTATGGTTATGTTATCCTGCCGTCAGTTCTCTCTCTGCAATCACCTCAACCACGATCCATACACACTGCTGAACAGTGTTCTTTCTTCCTCTCATGCTCTTACCGCTATCGCCCAATCACTTTGGCTGGACGGTAGAGCGATGGTCTCGCTTCTTGCAGGATGGTGTTCAATCCCCGACCGTCTAAGTGGTTGGGCACTACTGTATATAGCTCCATATGCTATATAGTGGTAATGGCATGGCACTTTACCTTGATAATTCACATCCTCTCACCACTATCTAATTCCACTATCCAAGCTCAAAGCTTTGTCATTTTGCCCTGCTCTCTCCCCCTCCCACACACTGCAAGACTTGTATTTATACAGTATACCAACCTAACTCCTTTCCTCGCTTTGTTTCAATGTATGAACACTAATATTAATTCCAAACATGCAGTGAACACTGCATGTTTGCTATTCTTGTGTATCCACACAGGCATGCACGTGTCCTTGGCAAGTGTGTAGCTGCTTTGAGCATCTCTGCATCTACAATATTCACGAATGTTTTCTATGATCCTTTTCCTCCCCTACTCGTTCCTCAAATATTATCACCTGTAGTTGATAGGCTTTGCCGATGAGTTCAATTCTTCTCTTTCTCGTTTATTTCCATATGCCTTTTAAGATCATCCTTCTCAATATCAATAACAATCTTCATCCTGTTCATGGGTGAATTTTCAATCTTTTGTACCCATGTGTCCTCTCAATAACTTTTGCAATATACTCCAGGGGCATACTCCAATATACATGGTGACTGTCATTCAGGGGCCATTTATGTTTATTTCATTTGAATTCACTCCCAAGACTGTTCACTATATTTTCTAGGCACTATCCTCCATGGAGAAAAATAAAGGCTAACATAAAAATGCTCAGGAGCACAAGCTTTACTTAATACCAAATCCTTTGTAGTCAATCTCTAAATGTTTGGAACATAAAAGCTCACCTCGCCTCCTCAGCTTCCAGTAACTTTCTGTAAGCTGCAATTTCCATATCCAGGGCCACCTTGATGTCCATAAGGTCCTGGTATTCCTGGAGCTGCATGGCCATCTCGTTCTGCAGGCGCGTGATCTCCTCCTTCAGCACCAAGACTTCCGCTGCGTGTGTATCTCTCTCAGACTCCAGCTGAGCCTCCAGATCAGCAACACGTTGCTGTAATAGGAAAATCAACACAACTTTAGGCGTTATGAAAATCACAAGCATCATAAATCAATTTGAAAAAAGTTAATTCCCATTTTTGATGTTATGTAGGTCAAACCTACAGCTTCTGTACCAGTTACAGGGAAGACCCCCCCACACACAACCAATGGCACATTGGTACTAATGGGCAGTTTCTTTCACACTCATGCCCCTGTTACCTAGCAGTAAATAGGTACCTGGAAGTTAGACAGCTGCTATGGGCTGCTTCCTGGGGGGGAGGGGGGGGGGGGAAGGTTGTGTGTGTGAATAAAAATTGACTGACAGTTGAGAGGCGGGCCGAAAGAGCCAGAGTTCAACCCCCGCAAGCACAACTAAGTGGATACAACTAGGTGAATACATTACCTCCAATGTCTGGTTCGTGCTCTCGAGGTAGGTGAGTCGGGACTGAAGCTCTTGCACCTTTCTCTTGGAGTCACGCAGTGAACTGGTGAGGGCATCAGTGTCCTCTGTTACCCGCTGGTCACGTCGGTTTAGTTCTTCAATCTGTCGCACACACAAAACAAACATGCTTTGTTTTTAGTAAACCACAAAACATTTGTATTTTATTTTCACAACTCTCACAATTTCTCAAAACTCGGAATACACCACAAAATGCTTTTTTGCATCATCTCTCGACCATCTTACCTTCGTCTCGTATAGGAACTCGACCTCGTTGCGGTTGTTCTTCAGCTGCTCTTCGTAATTATCTCGGAGCTCCTTCAGAGCTTCTTGAAGCTTGGCTTCATACTCTCCCTGTAGGCGTCCATCAATTTCGGAAAGCTCCACATGTTTCCTCTTCTTAGTCTCTGTAACCTCTTGCTCATACACCTGTAACTCAGGGGTACAGAAAAACATTACCTTTTATACATCACTGTCTTACCATGCTTGTGAGATGTACAAAAACACTATTGATTTTTTGGTGCAAATTAAATATATGAATATAAATGCTAAAAGTACACAAACCTATTAAGCCCTCATCAACATTCTTCAACAAAGCAGGAACTACAATCTTAGAAAAATGTTAATTAAGGAATATTTCATTCAAGCCTGTGGCTAAGCAGTAGATATGGAAGATTATTCAATATCAACATACTATATCACGTTGCATATACCTGTTGCTTGAACTGCAGCTCCTCCTTCAGAGACTGACATCTGTTCTCCAGGTCCACTCGCATCAACGTCTCGCTCTCCAGCTGCTGTTTGGCCTCGGTAAGTTGTCGGCTCAATCTGGCCACCTCCTCACGCAACTCCTGCAGTCACAAAAAATGGTTAGTATTTAACCTGAAATTAAATATCCAAAATCCCTCTTCCTATAATGCTCGTGCATCAACTCCTGGCACATGCCGCCACACTCAATATCATTATGTATCTATAAATTAATATCGAGGCTCATTGACTGCATCAAACCTGCTCCCTTGATCACCCCGAGCACCGACTCCACATAAGCAGTACTTTGTCATAATACCTTTAACCATTCCACCGTGCATATCATGTATACACGTGATTTTGGCCTAACTGCACTGCGCACATCCTACGTGTATGATACAAGTGTACTGCGCAAGATTTAAAAATCCCACGGATACAAAGGACTCACGTATGCCTTCTCTGGGCTCCAGTAAACAAAGTCCACTATGGGCTCACCATAGCCTGTGCTACTTGGAACTTTTGTTCCCAGTAGCTGAATCTAAAAACAGCAACACTCTGGTAATCAGACGCCAATGTGAAAAAATGATGGGCATCATTCATGGGTGTGAAGGCCTCAGTACTGAATGAGCAACCAAGGCTGGCACACACAACACAAGCTAACAGCACCTCTGTTCTGGTTGATACCTGGTTGATGGGGTTCTGGGAGTTCTTCTACTCCACAAGCCCAGCCCGAGGCCAGGCTTGAATTGTGAAAGTTTGGTCCACCAGGCTGTTGCTTGGAGCGGCCCGCAGGCCCACATACCCACCACAGCCTGGCTAATCCGGAACTTCTCTTAGAAAACAGTCCAGTTTTCTCTTGAAGATGTCCACGGTTGTTCTGGCAATATTTCTTATAATCGCTAGGAGGACGTTGAACAACCGTGGATCTCTGATGTTTATACAGTATTCTCTGATTGTGCCTATGGCACCTCTGCTCCTCCCTAGTTCCATTCTGCATTTTCTTCCATATCGTTCATTCCAGTACGTTGTTATTTTAATGTGTAGATTTGGGACCTGGCCCTCCAGTATTTTCCATGTGTATATCAGTTGGTATCTCTCTCGTCTCCTTTCTAGTGAATAATACATTTGGAGAGCTTTGAGACGATCCCAATAATATAGGTGTTTTATCGCGTCTATACGTGCCGTATATGTTCTCTGTATTCCCTCTATTTCAGCAATCTCTCCTGCTCTGAATGGGGAAGTGAGTACTGAGCAGTACTTAAGACAGGACAGCACAAGTGACTTGAAGAGTACAACCATTGTGATGGAATCCCTGGATTTGAAAGTTCTCGTAATCCATCCTATCATTTTCCTGGCTGATGCAATATTTGTTTGGTTATGCTCCCTAAACGTTAAGATCGTCGGACATCATTATTCCCAAATCCTTTACATGCTGTTTTCCTACTATGGGCAGATTCGATTGCGTTTTGTACCTTGTATTATGTTTCAGATCCTCATTTTTGCCATACCTGAGTACCTGGAATTTATCACTGTTAAACACCATGTTATTTTCTGCTGCCCAATCGAAAACTTTGTTGATATCCGCTTATAGCTTTTCAATGTCTTCTGCAGAGGTAATTTTCATGCTGATTTTCATGTCATCTGTAAAGGATGACATGAAGCAGCGACTTGTATTTTTGTCTATATCTGATATGAGAATAAGGAAAAGCAGTGGTGCAAGGACTGTACCTTGAGGTACAAAGCTTTTATCTGCGCTTGGGCTCGATTTTATTTGACTGTTACTCTGTGTTCTGTTCGACAGGAAATTGAGTATCCAGCGTCCTACTTTACCAGTTACAGTATTCCCATTGACCTCATTTTGTGTGCTTTCACCCCATGGTCACATTTGTCCAACACCTTTGCAAAGTCTGTGTATACAACATCTGCATTTTGCTTTTCTTCTAGAGCTTTTGTGATTTTTGTCATAGTAGTTGAGTAACTGTGACAGACAGGATCTTCCCGCTTTAAATCCATGTTGTCCTGGGTTGTGTAGTTCATTATTTTCCATAAAACTAGAAAGATGATTCGTAATCACTCTCAAAAACTTATTATGTGAGAAGTTAGTGCAACTAGTCTATAATTTTTTGCCAAGGCCTTACTACTCCCCCTTGTGCAGCGGAGCTATATCTGAAGATTTAAGTGCAGCTGGTATCTCCCCTGTATCCAGGCTCTTTCTCCAAATTATGCCGAGCGCTCGCGCTACTGGTACTTTACATTTCTTAATGAATATTGAATTCCACGAGTCTGGCCCAGGAACTGAGTGCATGGGTATATTGTCAAAATCGAGTGTGTGATTGTCATCACACACCCGAGACATCTGGAACTGCTGTACACCACCCGATCACACACCCGAGACATTTGGCACTGTTGGACACCCCCCCTATCACACACCCGAGACATCTGGAACTGCTGTACACCACCCCATCACACACCTGACACACCTGGCACTGCAGTACACCACCCCATCACACACCTGAGACACCTGGCACTGCAGCACACCCATGGTTGAAGAGGCACAGTCTTTCCTTCCGTACTTCACCATTCCAGAGTTGCAGTGGACTGGGGTACCCTAACTTCAGCCAGCGTCAACCTTCCACACGCGTGAAACACTCACCACCTTGCCTAGCAACTTACTATGTTTCTCAAAACCCTCTCAGGTTTCCTGATCTTCCAACACACACACAAAACTATTGTTACAAAAGTCATTGACTTTCATCATACAACACGTAGCTCAGATGACGTTTGATACTGTAGTCTTCCAAACCTCCAGGTTTCATAACCAGCGTTATGAAAGCAGGTAAATAGGATATAATTATCTCTGCATGAAAGAGAGGTTGTGGGGAGATAGAGTTTCTGCACCATTCACGGTTGTTGCCTGGAGGCGGAACCGGTACCAGGAGTAATAGAGTACTTGTCCTTCCTCCACACATTTTTTTATCATTCCTTGTGCACAGCTGATAAATATGCAGTAAATATTTATTTGTAAAAACGACATTTTTCACATTTGCAAAGGACTACCTTGATGGTAAACATTGTTATACCGAATGTTATTTACATTTGGCACATTGAAAATGCCAAGGCATACCTAACCACACCATGTGGTCACTAAACATGGGCTTCAAATCTGAACACATGGGTTGGAAACCAAGTCATCAAATATGACACCACTAAAGAGCATTGACAACCATTGACAACATTGGCATTGACAACCAGTTAACAAACCCCATAATACTGGAACGCTCTTTGGTCTGTGAAACAAGCCACTAATTTTGTTTACACACAGGTGGGTAGAGGAACAGATGACTGCCAATTCTGAGGCTGAGAGCTTTCCCATCCCATAGCTCGTGGTAAGATTCGAACTCGGGTCTCAAATACGAGATCGAATCTCCACGACCCAAATGAACTAAACTATCACTACTTTGTCAACAAGGTAATTAATGCCAAAAACCTGTAGACTGCATTCATGCCTAGGAGTTCTATGGCCATAGGTTCACAGAAGCCTTTACCTTGTTCCTTAGTTCAATAACCAATGTCAACTCACCCTGATTTCGTTGATAAGTTTTTTTCTCTCTGACTCCGAGCTGTTCAGCTTGGTGTTGAGATCGGCCACTTGGCCCTCGGCGGCGTGCAGGGCCTTCTCGGCTGCGGCCAGATCTCGCTCCTTCCTCATCAATCTGTCAGATAAGAAGGAAAAATAATGCAGGAGCTTTTTCACCCACAAACATGTGAAGAATTATCCTTGATGGATCACTTTCCATGCTCTTGTGAACATTAAGTCACAGTGCATATAATATCCACATATGTAATTCAGTACTGCACTATATACAGCACACTTTCTAAACTTGTTTAGCACATCTATACAGTTCAACTGTATAGTAACACTTGCATGCACTTACAAACCCATGGGATGCAGGTCCCATTTATACCTATATACTAATTCTAAGTCACACGTAAAACTTTGTTTTAATATACATGTTTAGGCCTACTAGAAATTTTGTTCATCTTATTCATGACTGCTAGCAAACTAATCCCTTTATTACACTATACACTCTAAAGGTGCAAATTTACTAAATATTAATCCAATCTAATGAGTTCCATCAGTGTTTGACATTACTGTATAACCAAAGCAACCTTACAATAATCAGTTATTTCAAATTCAATGTGTATCTAAGCAAGATTTAACAATGAAATGTGTCATTAACCTGGATTAACAAGGGCATAGAAAGCACATCATATAAACTGTGATCCACACTTCCATGGAAATAAACATTTCATTCACCTGGGTTGTATGGGTCTCGAACCGTGGACCCCCACACGCGTGAGCGTGCTACGGCCTCACACGCATGGGGTCCACGGTTCCAGACCCACACAACCCAGATGAATGGAAAGCACGTCATGTTAGACAGTCACAGCATGGAGAGCAAGCATAAAACCACCACAACACTGGCACCGTTAGCTATGAAGCAGGGCACAAGAGCCAGTCCTCAAGAGACACAGTTAAGTACCTCCCTCCCCCCAACTTCTTCCACCTATCTACTGATGCTCCCCTCATCAAACCCCCCTAACTACCACCACCAACCCTTCCCTGCTGCCTCCCCCTCATCAGCACACTATTCTGATAAATAAAGTAGACGGACCTTCGTCTACTTCACGTATATCCAGCCCATTTTTTTTTTTAGGAGAAACTCTCGTAATATCAAGAACAAGAGGACACACAATATCCAAAAACATTAAAATGCAGTACTGTATGCTTAGGTAAAATGTGGGAGACAATATTAAAAGATAATGCGTGCATCACCACACAAAGCTTCCAAACACCATGATAAACAACAAAGATGACAACACCAACTTGGATCGGCTCTCTTCCTGTAAAGTCATCCACACGTTTGTGGAGATAAACATTCCATTCATTATCACTGAATGAATGAAACAAACATGTCATTCCTGAATGAAATAAATATGAAATATCCGTAAATGAGAGTGTCCGCATCTTTACATCCACAACCGAGCTATCGAAGCTCGGCCGATAAGAGCTTCGGCCTCGCACACCTGGGGTCTGCTGTTGGGTCTCCCAGAGCCCAGGTGAAATGGAATCTCTTCATGTAACTTACTGTACACACTCAAACTACCAGTAAAAGCCATGGAAACATAGAAGAGTAGATCAAAAGATTAACTCGTAGTTCAATACCGCATGGAAGGAGGCCAAGGACACACGGGAAGTCTTGGAGAAAGTAGATAGCACAGCACCACGGTAAACATGCGAGATACTAAGGAAGACACGAGTACACAGGCCTTCATTAGTACAGATGTGAGTACACATTATGGAATGGAATGTACTGGCAAGTGATGTGGTGGAGGCAGACGCCATATACAGTTTCAAGTACAGATATGATAAAAGCCGAACAGGCTCAGGAACCTGTACACCAGTTGACTGACACCAGTTGATTGAGAGGCAGAACCAAGGAGCCAAAGCTCAACTCCAGCCAGCACAACTAGGCGATTACAGTGTGAAGAGGAAAGCCATGACTATTACACAAGACGAATAAGCACAAGAAAACTGACCAAAGGATCATATAATCAGACAAGAGTACATGGATCATCCACAGGCAACTCCTTGTACACGGGGCCCATGTTAATGCCTCAATTGATGATTCGTTTACCTGGAATACTTCATTACCATACAGACTAGGAAAGAACACACACACATAAAGTACGGTACATGGGAGCTGGGCGTGGACACGGCCTAATTGGCACCATATGAGCTTTGACAGTATAGCTTGTAACATGGGCGTAAGCCACCACTCTCAGATAACGGCAGAATTATTATATATATATAACGCATTATAAAGGGTCATTTCATGATTGGTGTACCTAGTATACTTCAGTATAACCCATGTGCTCTTGGGGAAACCATATGAACAGCATTAAATTTCATACAAAATAAAATGTTATATATTGATGACCGCATTTGCGTACCTGTTTACTGTTAGGTGAACAGGTGCCTCAGGGTGAAAAACTCTACCCATTTGATTCCGTCTCCGCCGCGGATCGAAACCGGAACCTTAGGACTACGAATCCCGAGCCAACAGCCAGTAAAGCAGCCGACAGTGCCAACAGCCAGTAAAGCAGCCGACAGTGCCAACAGCCAGTAAAGCAGCCAACAGTGCCAACAGCCAGTAAAGCAGCCAACAGTGCCAACAGCCAGTAAAGCAGCCAACAGTGCCAACAGCCAGTAAAGCAGCCAACAGTGCCAACAGCCAGTAAAGCAGCCAACAGTGCCAACAGCCAGTAAAGCAGCCAACAGTGCCAACAGCCAGTAAAGCAGCCAACAGTGCCAACAGCCAGTAAAGCAGCCAACAGTGCCAACAGCCAGTAAAGCAGCCAACAGTGCCAACAGCCAGTAAAGCAGCCAACAGTGCCAACAGCCAGTAAAGCAGCCAACAGTGCCAACAGCCAGTAAAGCAGCCAACAGTGCCAACAGCCAGTAAAGCAGCCAACAGTGCCAACAGCCAGTAAAGCAGCCAACAGTGCCAACAGCCAGTAAAGCAGCCAACAGTGCCAACAGCCAGTAAAGCAGCCGCCCATGGTTCCTCCCCCTCTCATACCCCCACTCTCCCCCTCTACACAGGCATCAGGTTACCAAGCCAGGGGGCGCCGCCCCACACAACACTGAGACACTACCGTCACATCTTCTCAGCGTCGAGGGGGACACACCCCAGGAGGAGGGAGTGGCGCTCCCAGTTAACTGTGAGTCATGAGAGGACACACACACACACACACACACAGTGTATGGAGGCTGACTCCATACACAGTTTATAATGTAGATATGATAAGAGCCCAGTAGGCTCAGGAACCTGTACACCAGTTGATTGACGGTCGGTTGAGAGGCGGGACCAAAGAGCCAGAGCTCAACCCCCACAAGCACAACTACGTGAGTACACACACACATGCGCGCTGGTCGCCATTTAAACATTCAAATTCAAACAGCGCGGAGTGCACCAGGCGCGCCGAGCCATAATCACCAGTGAATGCACTCAAAGAGTAACATGCAGACGAAGACCACTCATCTCCCCCCTAACTACCCATCCATCTAACAACCTTCAACACTTTAATATTAGGCCTCTCAACCCCTTTCATATCCCTACTATACACTTGACACATTTACACCATAAAACAGTTAAAGAAGGTTGGAGAAGAAAACCGTGAGCAAACACAACTGGGGGGCCTGATGGCTGAGTGGACAGCACTCAAGATTCGTAGTCCTGAGGTTCCGGGTTGGATCCCCGGCGGAAATATATGGGCAGTGCATTTCACCCTGATGCCCTTGTTCACCTAGCAGTAAATAGGTACCTGGGAGTTAGACAGCTGCTACGGGCTGCTTCCTAGGGGGGGGGGGGGGAAGAGTTATAACAAATAGAAGGCCTGGTCGAGGACCGGGCCGCGGGGTCGCTAAGCCCCGAAGTCATCCCATGATAACCTCCAGAAGATAACCAGAATGTCTAAGGGAGGAACCATCACGGCCCAAAACACCAAACTGGGCGAGTTGACAGCTTCGGGACTAAGTGTAAATTAAGTGTAAATTCAGAACCCAAGTGTAAATGTTTAATCCTAGCGAGAGAGCAGACACCTGCTGGCCACCAGAGCGGTAATTGTGCTCATCCGGTGATAGGTAGTTAATGAGTGTTTCAACATGAGCGGAAGTTGGACAAGAGAAACGAGAGAGAAACAATGCTGACACACACACACACACAGACTTGTACACCCTATACGGCCTTGGGGGACCAGCTGTGTACCAGGCTCTTAATTACTATGCCCCTCTCCACACTATACTTGTTAAGCTCTGCCACCCCGCCTTTCTAACCTATTTTTCCTCTTATATCTACTACTACATACACATCTCTCTCTCTCTCTCTGTCTGTCTGTGCCTGTCTCTCTCTCTGTCTCTCTCGGCCTCTGTCTCTCTCTCGTGTTCCAGGTACCTATTTACTGCTAGATGAACAGGTGCATCAGGGTGAGAAACAAACTGGTAGGGGTGTACGGTGATGACTCCCTGGTACAGACTCATCATCACTACCGTTCAGGTCACCACCTCCCTTCCTGGGGGGTGTTGACTGGCCATTTAAATAGCAGTATGCCCCTACCCCCCGCACCCAAACACTTGCAGACAATGTTAAAGAGCCCCGCACGGCTGAGAATAGACGTACTCTCTCCCCCACACACACGGCAACATGTGTGCACACATGTGCATCTAGTGCATGTGTGTGTGTGCACATAGTGCATGCAAACGTGTTAAGCACATACGGCCACAACTATAAACCAGGGGCCAGATTCACGAAAGCACTTACGCAAACACTTACGAACCTGTACATCTTTTCTCAATCTTTGGCAACTTTGTTTCCAATTATTAAACAGTTAATGAGCTCCGAAGCACCAGGAGGCTGTTTATAACAATAACAACAGTTGATTGGCAAGTTTTCATGCTTGTAAACTGTTTAATAAATGTAACCAAAGCCGTCAAAGATTGAGGAAATATGTAAACGTTCGTAAGTGCTTGCGTAAGTGCTTTCGTGAATCCAACCCCTTACCTTTTTCATCAAGAACGCACGCGCACACACGCGCACACGCACACACGCACATACACGCACACACGCACACACACACACACACACACACA